AGAACCATGTGGGCCAGGGCTAGCTAACATTTCTATGTGCCTCTTCTCCCCTATTTTCTCCCTCCCCTTTATGCTTTATTGAGAGGAGATAATCCACGCCTCTCTCGCGCGCTTTTTTTTGATTTTTTTTTCTCGCTTTCGTTTTTTTTTTTTGTGTGGGTGGGGGGGGGGGGGGGAAGTATTATGGATTTCCCGTTCCGTGCGGAAAGAGCTGGAATATTCGGGCACGTCTGCGAAGTGGAGATCGGTATTAGTGAGACTCCTAGCTGAAGAAAGGGAAGACGGGACCACTGTACCTTTTCTTTGCGGAGAAATCTGACCAGCAATGATTGACCGATTGCTTGATTGTTGTAGGCAGAGACGATAGTTGTTTTTTTTTTTTTTTTTTTTTTTTCTTTTTTTTTCTTTTTTTTGGCGGATCAAGTGGGATGATGAAGCTAGCTAGATAAGGTTGTTCTGGCAGCCTGAGGTAGCGCTACCTGCGTCACCACAAAGCTTGACTGCACGCCCAGCTATCGATATCTACTTATATACGGGATACAACACATTTAGAATAAGAAATAAATTAAAAAAAATTCAATATACTCAATGCTACTGCAATCGCCGCTAAATCGCCGGTGTCAATTTTCGTCCGCGATTGAAAATTGTGCATAGAGGTGTAGCAAACCACTGCCCCTCCAGGCGGAGGCCCGATGTACCGGTACCTGGGCTGTTGTTGTAGTTTTGTCGTCACATTCCGCTTGGCATCACGTGGGCGAACCTTCCAGCACCATCCAGTGCTTCTCGCTGCTTCGATCCTTTTCTTCTCTTTTCCACTCAAATCAATTGCCCACAGACGCGCCATCACGCCCAGCGTGGCCGACAGTCGGGCAACAGTCGGGCAAAAAGCGGACTCGCATACCTACCATATCGCCAAATCCCATTTGTGATGAGGAGGAAAAAGTGGATTTAATCAGCATAGATTACAATCAACCCAATTGGAGGAAATGGATGTCTAAGAGTTGAAAATAGCCACTGTCCAATGAACCTTATAACCAATGATCTAGGTAGAACTATCGCTCCAATACGCCCTGCTTACAGCACTACCAGTTATTACAAGCAAAAACAAGTGAATGGTGGAGTCAGGGACAAAAAATAGAATTGAAAGACAAAGCAGAGCAATCAAATGAAAACAACCAATGCAGCCTCCCAATATGAAACCTTCCTCATGAATCTCAAACTATATCTCCCGGATCCCGCGACCTTTTCACTAGCCGCGATCGTTTCCGCTTCTTCTTCGTTCCAGAAGCCTCAGCTTGTTCTGTCCCTTCATCCGGCTTCTCATCTTGATGGTGGTTTTTTTCAGGTGAAGGTGAAGTTGAAGGCGATGCATCCGCTACACCGTCCTCAGCGGCTCGGACTGGACTGTTCCTCCCCAGCGGACTCCGCCCCGCCCGAATCCGCGTCGGCTCAAATATCCCCGTATCCGGCGGGATCAGACTCCCACTCCCTCCATTGTTCATCCCATCATAGGTGAGTACGCCTGCTGCGGAGTTAGATAGCTTTCCAGACCGTGTAGAAGAGCACGCAGGGCTCTTCCCCCTGGAAATAGATCGACCTCGGCTCTCAGATCTTGAGTCCCCGCCCCACATCGAGTCGCGGCCATCTTCGAGATCCCCTATCTCTACACCAACGCTAGAGCATACCCTTGACTGGCGTGCAAGCTGCACTTTCCTCTGGTCCTCTTCTCCCATAATACTCTCCACTGTGCGTGGTAGGTGGATCATGGAATTAGATCCGTTTGTCCAGTCTGAGTCAAAAGATGCTCGAGGGTGTAACGGTAGAGGAGCGACGGCTGGGTTCCGCTGCGGGAAGTCTGGAAAGGTCATTGTAGACGTGTTGTCATTCTCGGTGTAATAGTATCCGTTTGGTTGTAGATCCGGTGCTGCGAACCGACCTTCTACCACTTCCGCTGGATGGATGGGAACGGACGACTTTCCTTCGGCCAGCGCCCGGAAAGTATCCACATCAATATTAAGTTCGTCACCTGTTTCTTTTGCCTTGACGACAGCTTGTTCCGGTGTAGTGTTTTCATCCGCTGCAGCTGCGTCAGCCCTCGGCCCGCCCCATGTCCGCTGACCAGCTGTAAAAATCCCATAGACCATATAGAGCCAGTTAAAGAATGGATTCAGAATGAACATTATAGGGTAAAGCCACGCCTTGTAGCGTCGAAGCTTTGCGCCAAAATAGAGCATGAGAAGGTAATTTAAACCCAGAGACACTGCAATAAACCCCACAGGCAAGTTTTCTACTTTGTTAGACGTAGTCATAACCGATATGACCATGATGAAAAATAGTAACGCAGTAGTACGGATGGTATTTTGCATAAAGCGTACAAGACATAACATGGGATATCGATACCACAAACGAATATCGGTAAGCATGCACACCTCATTCGTGATAAATCCGAGGAACCATCTTCTTCGCTGCTTTAGCAAACTTCGGAAGGTTTGAACAGCCTCCGTTTTACAAAACGCGCTGGTACACATCTGAATTTGGTATCGCTCCTTTGCACCAATCATGAAAAGATGAGTGAGCCAACGGTCTTCACCAAGATGGCATTTGCCGAAGTCAAACAGGTCCTCGCACTGCTCTGCCTTGTCTGCGAAATAGTACTTAGCCATCTTGCGGAAGGCCGAAAATCGAAGGATCGTAAGCGCTCCTGGGAGGCAAGTGACCGATCCGCATCCAGATTCAACAGACCGCTCGAATAGCTGTCCATGTATATACTCCATATCCTGAAGTAGGGTTATCAAGGTGTTTCTTCTCAGTGGTTGAAGTAATGACGCCAGTCATGGCCAG